GCCCGAGACTTGTCTGGAAAGGCCATGTTGGGGAACACTATGGGATGGTGATAATGGTCCCTGAGGCTCTAACGGCGGAGGAGATTCGACTCGAGGGGCACCAAAGTAATCCTGCATCGGAGATGTCTCTTTGCTTTCCTGGTCCTCGCCCGACTTGAGCGCACTCACGTGAACACGTTGGGAGGTCGGCCTGTTCAGAGGATGAGCAACTCGAGCAAAGCTGCCACCACGTTCCTTGTCCAACGTTGGGAGAGGAGGGACTGTGTCAAGGCCATCAGACAAGGCACGAAATATGGGAGGACGATTGTTTTGGTGTTCGGTCAGCGATTCCGTCACTACTTGTGGTGGGAGTCTGCTCATGCGTCGCTCGCCGGCTTTCCTCGTTTCCTCCAACTCTTTGGCCAGTTTGCGACTTCGGGCCGCAATGGCATCCAATGGTGATAGTGCAGGAGGCACGTCGCCGTCGAAATGTTGGATCCGGGGCGATAATGCATTTCTCGATAGCGCGCTAGCCGAGCGAAGATTTTCTTGGGGGATCTCGATGTAGGTTGGACGAGTCATCGTTGGATGTGGACTTTACGAGTAGATTGAGTTGAGTCTCTGGAAGACTGGGCAACCGCTGTCGTAACTTGGCTGTTATGTTGTTGAACCGAGTCGGAAAAAAGGCGAAATGATGGCATGGATCGAGGATCTGGGGAATCGGACAACGTAGAATGCAAGGCTTCCAGGAGGATCGAAGGGTGGCTGAGGTCACAGCTGGGAACCAGGTCCGACAGAACGAGAGTCTGGGGGCTGGCGCAGGAGTTGCCGCTGATGGGTTGATAAAAGTAGGATGTTATGCCAACGGAACTCGTGTCCGAGTTGTCGCCCAGAATAAAATGATGACAAGTGAGTGACCAACAATAGCCCACACCAGTAATAGATTTCCAGGTGCAGTCTATGTCAATACGAAGTGAACGAGTGTGGCTGATAACGAGAGTGTCGAGGGGATGTGTGAGAAAACGAGTGTCTGAAGTGGTCTTATGAGGAGGACAATGGTGGCGTGAAAAAGAGTAGATGGTAGATACAGGATGGGATGCAGGACGCAGGCAGGGAAAAAGATGGCAGAGAACAAAGTCCAGTAGCGTGAGGTGGGAGATGGTGGATGGTGGGTGGTGGATGGATGGTTTGGGTGGCTGCAGGCGGGCCGTCAATGGCCACGGACAGCATGCGAACTTTTTGGGGGAGGGCAGGTCGTAGTTTGCAGGTGGTGGTGATGGTGGTGGTAGCAGATCAGACACGCGTTATGCAGACACTTCTGGGCACCCCCGGTTCTGAACATGATCGACCACTGCCAGACACAGGTGTCCAGACAACTCCCAGGCCAAGGTACGAGTCCCTAGCAAGTGATGTGAAAGGTGATGTGCAAGCCATGCAACTCCAACCGGGGGGGTGAGAGACAGGCAACGAGAAGCCCAGAAAAGCCCAAAAAAAAACAAGAGTGACCTGCATAACTCAGTTGCAGCAATCGGGGGTAATCCCTGAAGGCCCGTTGTGGGGCATGGTCTCCCCCCTTGATATTTTTACTTAGGGAGCGAATAGTGCCCCCTGACCATCGCCCGCCCTGGCAGCCGAACAAGCCTTCCGAAACCCAGACGGCCAGGGCAGACGTACCATTGGGTACATCAACCCGGGCTCCAAGCCACAGCTGCACTCCAATGGAGGCCTGTCGACGCTACCTGGAGACCTCTGCTTCATCCTCTTTGGTGTCTTTTTGCTAGACTCAGGGGCGAGATTGAACCAACAGCATGTCTGGGATGGCATCGCAGGTAGTTTGACCAACAAGACAGATTTGATGGGAAGACGAAGGCAGCTGAGAGGCTGAGAGGCTGAGATGATGAGAGGACGAGAGGCTGAAAGGTGCATCTTCGTCCACTTTCGTCCTCTCCTCCGTTCATGATCTGGAAGGCTCAAGTGTTGCACGAACCCGCAAATTATGGAGACGTCAGTGCAACCTCGATGCTGTTACTCTACAAGTATATCTGCAGCCGTGGTGACACGCTGGTTGATGCAGAAATTCCCCGAGGTCGTTCTGCAGGTCATGGTTCGGAACAGCCCGTGCCCTGCAGTGGCAATGTCTCACTACATGGTGGTGGTGGTGCTGCTGCCGCAACTCTTGTTACCACTACAGGGAGAGAAGAACGCAATGGCTATCTCAAACCTACGTATGTACTCGGTACCTCGTACTTGGACGAAATACCGACTACCGAGTCCAGATGAGAGCAATTCCATCTCCTGCAGAGTACGACTTGAGGTCGACTAGCCAGATCTCGGGACTGACTAGCATGAAACTATCGCTTCTGGGGCCTTGACACTTGCAAATCTATTACGTCGTCAAAATCCCAAACGAGGTGAAAAGAAAGAGAGTTGATTGGTGCCATTCAAATTGGCTGGTTGGTGCTGGTGACCTTTGTTTGCTGCACGCGACACATTCTTTGATCAACGTCCATGTGCAATTTGTTCTCGTCTGCGTAGGATCATCACGAATTACTCGGTACCTACAAAGGCAGGGAGAGATAGTTGAGCTTCCGAGAACAAAGGACACCAATTACAACAAAACCGCCACCACCACCATCGACAATCTCGTATATCTCGTAAACTCCTCCCCCACAAAGCCACCCACAAGGCCAAAAAGCCACCAGCATCATCATTTTACGTACATGTACAGCTCTCAAGCTTTGAGCTCCAGCCACAGCAACGGCGATATCTCACTTTGTATACTTTATACGTGGAGCAGGCTATATACATCTACTCGGTACATGGTAAATATTATACATAGATAGGTACAAACAAGCACTCGAATAGACCGTGTTGATGGCTCCTCGTCAGTCTTCCGCCTCCTCCTCTTTCTTAACTGCATCTCTCTCCTCTTGCTGCGCTTCTTCTCCTGCTTCGCCCTGCATCTTTTTCTGCCGAAAGGCCTTTCTCAACTCGCATTTGCCCAGATTCTTGCCTCCAGCCCGACATTCTTCGCACCTCTTTCCGTGCGTGACGAGGAGGATATGCAGCCCGTACTTGTCCTCGTCCGGGATCATGACGTCCAAATGCGCGTGTGTCTCATCTCTCGAAGCATTCTTGGGTCGCCAACCCAGCAAGCCTGTAATGCGCCAGACATGCGTATCTACAGCGAAGCTCTCGCGCTGGAGACAGAAGAGCAACACGCAGCTGGCCGTCTTGGGTCCCACACCCTGGAAGGATAACATCTCCTGCATGGCCTCTTCACTGGACGCGTCATGGAGATGGTCCAGGGAATACTTGCCATACTTTTCTTTCGTCTGTTGTAAGATGCTCATAATGACTTTACTCTTTACCGCGCTGAGTCCGCCACATTTGATGGCTTCTTGGAGCTTGGCTTGACCTCCAGCAACGATAGCGTCCCATTTATCACTCCCTCCATACACCTTGTCCATACTCTTCTTGGCCCGCGTCGAGTTAACGTCGCTCGTGTTTTGGGAGAGAATGGTGCGGACCAGCGCGTCGAGGACGGTGGGAGAGTCGCCGCAGCCTGCTCGCGTGGTCGAGGCAACGACTTCTTTGGGGCGAATCCGAGGGCCGTGGAGGGAGGCGAGGATCCTGTGGGCAAGTTTGCATTCCTCTGGGGTCGGATGATGAAAGTCAGGGAATGGAGATTCATTGGCAAACTGGGCATAGGACTTGAGTTTCTTCGCTTTCAGATCGGATGGTCCTGATTTCTTCGATGGAGATTTCTTCGGAGAAGACACAGAGGCAGGTGAATCGCCCGACATGGATGGGCTCATCAGCCCAGTATCTTCCACTTCCTCCTTCTTCACTCTCTTCCTGACAGGTGTTTCTCCTGTACGTGGCGAAGTCCGCTTGATCCGAGGGGTTCCCTGCTCCTGCTTGATAGCCACGCCGTCTTGATCTTGGTCCTCCTTTTTGAACTGCGCTTTCTTCTCTCCTTTGAGTGCCCCAGACGCAGTGCTTCTGGTCACTCGTCGGACCCCTGAGGCGACTGTCGAAGTGCGCTTTGACATGTTGGGATTGAATCTACCCGAATAAGAGGAGCTTGGGAGAACTGCACTGGAAGGTGACAGCCTACAAGGCCGAAGCTGGGAGAAAGAGAGCGTACTATAGAAGGTGAGGCGAGGCGTAGGAAACGCAGTCTTTGAAGGCTGTGGATTTGCGTATATGACCTAGTTGGAGTCATATAGACTGCGACTTAGATCTTGCAATCTGGTAGATACTCACCCATTAGTTGCTTGTAGAGGAGACATATAGTAGCGGCAGAACATGAAGATGCTTCCTCTGGCAGCCACACCTATGCGTGCCGTGTCATGATGTCAAGGACTTTTTCTGATTTAGCAGCAAGCGTTGACCTTCCTACGGCAGATCAGGCGGATTCCGTCTGCGCAAAAACCGTGCGGTGCGCAGAATACGCGTGACTCTCACATACTCACCACATTGCCCTGCTACACATCCCACACATGCCAGACCGCCACAGCGCACGTAGCCAACGCGACATGTACGGTTAGATGTCTCTATCTCGTGGCCAGAGGCAACAGCTGCAGAAGAAGAGAGCACGCCAGTCACGGAGTTGTAGGACTGTCTCTGATATACAGACAGCCATGCAACTGCGCATCTGCCTTGTCCGGATGTAGGTTCACACGCTGCAACTGCATGCTCTATTCTATGTCTTGCCTACAGAGGTGAGCGTCAATCAATCCATCTGCGCCGGGATTCTCCTCCTGCTCCATATCCCTGTACTAGAGCACAGACGACAAGTACCAGATGTACCTGCAACCTCTCCAACATTGAGCGGGATCCCAGTGTCAGTGATTCACGAAACAAACATCAGACTGGGTGCCAGAGCAAAGGGTTGACCATGGGTTTGTCGAGGGTCTGGCACAATCCGTCCGCCCGTTAAAGGCACATGCAAACATTCATTATGGCAGACTTCGCACGACAAAGGCATTGGCACTACTACATATTTCACGCTCACGATGGTTGCGAATTGTCCTTCATCTTTCCATCCGACTCAGATCCGCATCGCAATATCCACGGCATCGTCTCTGTCTCTGCGTGGACAAGTGACAGATCCAGCTCGACAGCTTCTAGGCGCCTTCAGCCCTGTGTTCCCTTCGCCCATGGCAACGCCTTCTAGCAACGATCCTGGCCCCGCGGGCACAGACACGGCGGTGGTCACGATGTCCGCGCCCGCGAAGCGCTCGTTCTACGACCTTCCGATAGAAGTTCGGTTGGAAATATACGAGCTACTTTACTGTTACTCCAAGCCCATCCACCTTACTCTCGACCACGACGGCAAGATCAAACACCAGCGCGCAGAATCTGCCACGAGTTGCTGCACTCCTGACCTTGCCATCCCGGTCCACGCTTTTACGGTAGCAAAGACACTCTGTCATGAGGCTTCCCCTGTCCTCTACCAACGTAACAACTTCAGCATGGACTGGAAGAATCTCAAAATGTTCTCCCAGAAATGGGACCAGGGACTCAGCAACTATCTGGGAGCAATCGAGATTTTCTGTGACGATGGGCCAGCTTGGGGTTTTGTCCCTGTCACCAGATTGTTGGTTGACAAGATGCCGGGTCTACAAGAGATCAATTTCAAGATTTCAGGCTCACTCAGACTTGCTGCTGCCGCCCTAGAGACCTCCAGTGCCATAACCCCTTGCGCCTCTATGTTCGGTGGACCAGAACTGGATCTCGTTCTTCAGCCTCTGAAGTCTGAAGACTGCAATGGTGGCAAAGGTGGCTCCGATCTTGTTGCCATTCGCAATGGCATCCAACAGGACAATGCAAAACTGGCAGAAATCTGGCCCGAGGGTCTTGCTCCAAACAATATCACTCGATCCTGCGCTCCAATCTTGTCCCATATCAGATTGAGTGGCAAAATCTCTCGCACTACCCTTGACAAAATTCTTGGACACAGATGTCTGCCAGGTGATTGTTTTTGGGAGGAAGTTGCTCAAGAAGTCAAGGAAGGTGACGCCGCCAAGGTGATTGGGGAGAACAAGGACGCCACCAAGATGGCAGAGAAGAATGGCAGCTCCGACAAGTTGACCGAGGATTTGGTGCACTACAAATGGAAAGCCATGGTTCCTGGAGAGAGGACCGACGTACCGAAGATCGACATGCGCCAGTGGTACCCGCCACTTACGGAAAAGGAACAGCAAAAAGTGAGGGATTTTGTCAAGGTCTTCGAGCAACGTGACAGTTGCTATAAGAGTGACAGCGCATCCGAGGTAGAAAGCCTTCCTAAGGACGCCACAGCTTCTGCGGAACCTGGCTCGACTGATCATGGCGGGACAAGTCAAGATGCTTTATCTAGAGATGCCGAGAACCAAGAAGTCGTGTACGCGGAGGGAGCAGAGTCTGCTGCGAGTACTGCGTCTGCCAATCCTGACGATCTCCTGGGGAGCATGCAGCAGTTGGCTTTTGCTAACTGCTTCGAAAACCTCAACTCCGAGTTTCTGCACAAAGACCTAGCAGAGGTCAGAGCTGCCCTACTGGAATATTTTGGCGATTTTGCATTCGAACTCTTCCCAGATGAGTTTGCGGATGAGAACTAGCCAGAAACACTTTTGTTCGTGCCGATCCAGCCTTGTCGACTCAATATGACACAGGAACGAGGCTTTGTGCAACCTCTTTTGTTGGCATCATCATGACGACTTACAACATGCACGATAGACCGACTGATGCCGAATGATGGGAATGCGTTGTTCAAAGGGTGTACGGACGAGCGTGAATCTTGGTCAGACACAGGAAGAAAGCAAGAGTCTTTGTTAACAATAGTGGCACCACCACAACGAGCTATGAATACCATGCAACGATACGATTTTTTTCTTTTTTTTGAACAGCGAGCTGGGCAAGACAAGGACTTGTTGAAAAACATAAAGAGTAAAAAAGGGAACAAAAAACAACAGACTGAACGAAACATGGCTTTTTGGATAGCAACGCAGACGAGTGAAGCGACGGTGATGGGGATTGGATATTGTTTCCCCTTTCCGCAGCAACGGTGATGCCCTTTGTCTGGAACATGTGTCTTTGAGAATCAGACCAGATCAGATTTCGCTTGGCTGGTGGTTGGTTTGTCGGCCGGTTGGCACATTGGATGGAATTTCCACCTTGAGTGCCTGGCACCCTAGCTGCCCAACGAATTATCATCCGAAATCGAGCTGTGAATCGAGGATTGACAAATTTGATAATAGTACCCTCGTCTGTTTCTGTTTCTATTGGACGGCCTAGGTGCCCAGTAGACATAGTAGTCATTATAGTGATAAAGAGGTAGAGAGACCGGGCATGCAGTGGGAGAGACAATAGACGAGTGAGGATTCACTCCGAGGAGAGACATGATGGCGAGGTTTTGCGCCTGTGAGATAACATGGATGTCATATTCTGCCATGTCATGCTGTCCCTGCGTGGAAGGCTATACGATAAAACATCGATTCATAACATATCGTGACGACATCACATCATATCGATATCACTATCAACATCAACATCAACTTGCCCGTTGTCCAGTAACCATGCAATGCAATGCAATGACACGGAAGAGATACGTAAATGCCGCTCTTTTCTTCATGCTCGCTTCATTCATGCTGGGAAGAGACAGACAACCGGACGACAAAACATGCCATGCCATGCCGAGACTGCTCTTCCCCCTCTGAGATTTCAACGATGAGCCAATCCTCTGTTCAACGCCACATTTCGGCCCATCTCCTCCTCATCCTGGTCGCGGAACTCGATTCCCAACTCATCGAGGCCATCGCTGCTCATGGACCCTCCCAGTAACGACCCCACCCTTCGCATCATGCCGATGCTTCTTCGCACTCTGTGGCCTCGCCCGCCATCATCATGCGCATTCTGGTGATCCTTGGGTCCGCTTACAATCGCTGCGGCGACTTCTCCGCCGCCGCCGCCGCCGCCACCATGATGACCGTGGTGGAGAAAGTGATGATGATGATGTGGAGAATCCTGAGCATTCTGCTGATCGTCAGAATGTTCTTTTCTCCACTTAGCAAACGTGCTACTCTTCCTCCCCTTCTTCAAATCCTGCGCGAGGGTGGCACTAGGTTGAGGCGGCCAGTTTCCTTCGGACTTCCAGCCTTCCACCAAGGCGGGGATCATGTGACATAGAGGAATGGGCACGTTGGGTGTGAGGCCTTGGACCACAATTTTCGAGTAGATGGTAGGGTATGCTGAGGGTTTTATGCGCTCTCGAATGATATTGTCCTGGGGAAGTATGGGCGGATAAATGGGAATCCATGGACCAGGTTCCGTGAAGGAGGGCGAAGTCGGTAGCGGCGACAACGGTGGTTGGGACGTCGAGGAAGGCGAGAGAGGCTCCGCGGTGGTATTGGTGGTGGTGCGTGTTGCCGATGCGGCTTCGACACTATCTGCGCTCGAGGACTCTGGCGTAGGTGACGCCGGTGACCCTGGCCAGCTTGTTGATCCCCCATCCGTAGAATTGGGCAGGTCACCCTTGTGTCCCGTAAAGACTTGGGAGAGGCGAGACTTATATGAAGCTCTTTTCGTTGCCGATGATGGCCGTCGTTCGGTCGGTTTCGTACTGTTCGGTTTCTGCTGCAGGGCTCCCGTCCAGGCGTCACGCCTCTCAATCCAGGTCCTCAACCCCTCGTTCCAACACATTTCGTCCTCTTGCATCTTTCTGCGTTTTCTCCTGCGCTCAGCAATCACTGCCCCCACGGCCTCAGGGCTTTCAAACTTGTACGGGTCGCTTCTCGCGCGACGCCGGGAGGCCAACTCTTCAAGTTCCAGGTCGGATTGAGCCTCTTCCCGTAAGCGGTATGTGAGAGGCTCCCGGTGAGGGATGGGGGATCTGCCGCCATCATTGACAAGGGGTGTAGGCGACGGAGGCGGAGGCCATTCCCAGTCGTCTTGCACCATAGACAGGACCATCCGCCGGGCGGCTCGAGTGGCCTCTGTCCTTGATGTCGGGTCGGTCGGAGATGGAGATGTGGGATCAGAGCTGTAAGAGCTGGCATTTGAGCTTTTTCGTAGACGTTGAGTCAGAGTGTGGAAAAAGGGCGCAGAGGCATGGCTGTGGCCATCAAGAGATGGTCGAGGCGATGATTGGGCCATGGGAAGGTCCCCAAAGGAAGGATATAGCGGGGAGTTCTGAGGAGGTGATTTTACGAAACTCTGAGTCGTTTATATGGCGTGCAGATGCTTGAAGATGGATAGATATTCACGACATTTGAACTCAAGAGAACAACAACGAGGAGGAGAGAGGGGTGTGGAGTGTTGTGTGAGGAGGAGGTTTGAAAAAGCACGCAACTCACACGAGCAGGCACAAGCAGGGCGAATGACCAGGCATGGGCAGTGGATGCGTTCGCAACGAAGCCTATTAGCAAGGCGAAAGAAATCCGAAGAGCACGGCCATGCTAAGTTTGTGGGCATTTGTGGGCATTTGTGGGCACCTGGATAATGTGGCTCATCAGGCTGCTAGACTGGCGTGACTGGCCACTGCTAGCGAGGGGGGAGGGGCCAATGCCCAGTGTCCAGGCCCCGGTAATAAGTATCTTACAGGCACCTGGCCTCCCTCTAAGCACCCAATCGCCTGGAGCGAACCGGGTCCTTCGGCTGATCCGCAATGGGCCTTCTAGACCCCCCAAAGCGGCAATGCTTTGTTGGAAACTAAGAGCCACAAGCGCCAGGGATTACGCAAGCGTTACCCGGGGTAAATGGTTTAAGCTTTGCAATACTCGTAGGGGTGAAATGGCGTTCGCGGCGCCCAGACCTGCAAAATCCGGGGAACCAGGTACCCTGTCGGATCAAGTCCCTTGCTGTTCCAACAGCGACTTGACCGATTCCTTGGGTTGATACTGACAGGTATTGATCGCACAGGCACAACGGACAACCAGACTTCAAATGGATAGCTAGATGATGCGTAGGAAGAGAATGATATTGCTAGTTCTGAAAACGGACAATGCATTCGGTCATGTACCTGTGCTGACAAGTGACGGGGGTGCAAAACATAGTTGCGAGTTCTCTGCAGTGACTTAATCGCGAACCAAATGAGTGAGATACTCGTAAACTAACCCTTTAATCGCCTTCGTCCGAGCAGTAAAGTGGAAAAGCTCTGGAAAGAGTGGCACTGGTGCTGGAATCCTTCATGATATACGAGGAGTCGTAATGCTCACAGTTTGTAAGCCCCATACTATTCCACTTTCGGCTAGTACATTTTTCTGCCTGCGCTTTTCTACTTTCCAGTAAACTACGAGGACTATTACTGCCATACGTCCCTGTACCTCTAGTCCGCCAGTCCGCCATACATACGGCTACACGAGTAGCAGAGTATCCCTGCAACAATTAAGGCACAATATGATGGCCGGATTTCACGGATTGCACTCGCAACTTCTACAAGAGATGCATCTCCCCGAAGCAATTCACATTTTCGACTAAATATTCCCCCCTCCGCATTGCGATCGATCCTCTCCCCCCAAGCGTCGTGGCCTCACGAGAATCCGCGGGAAAATATGCAACCGACATGAAATTACATTCGTACGTTGGCATGTACAAAAGAAGAAAAACGAGTCATTATCCAACCTCATCACACTGGCCACTTTGGATGGTCCAGTGCGCATGAGGGATCCAGCCATCCAGCATTCTTGTAATCTCCCATGACAGCCACAACCGTTCAGACTCGCCTCCACCCTGGATCTGATCTGCTGTGGTTCTGTGGAACCCAACGGTCTGGTGTCCTGGCTGAACCACCCTCTGCTTGTTCTCTGGGAAATCCACCCTGCAAAAATCCATAAGGGAAGAAAAGAATCGTCATTCCTAGCTGCTACACCTCCCTGACCCTGAAGACTACCCTCCCGGGTTCCTCGTCTGTTCTGTTGTTCCTGGTCATGGTCCCCATCGCACTCATCCATTCCTGCGACAACTTGGACCGGTAAGATGGGGCGCGTGATGATCCCGGTGTTGGGCCCAGGTCGAACAATCCCTCCAGCACGTCGCTGCTGAACTGGTTGGTCGGCTCATAAAGAGGTAAGGTGTCCTTTGAATTTGGCCGGAGGTACACCCGCTGGGGTCGCGTGATGACTCCTGCTCCTACGGAAGAGGAAGGGTGTTGAGTCGGAAGTTCATCGGCACCCATGCTAAGACTGTCATCGTCGCTACTATAATAACGATGATAATGACCGTGCGACGGCAGCGGAAGGTGGGAGATGGGCGTTCGTGACGCTGGTCGCATTCCCAGACAGCGTCTCATGTGCTGGAGCCAGAAAGGTGATGCGAGGTAAGAGTATCGGGCGATCCAGGCGAAGCAGACGATAGCGCAGATGGAGATTCCGACGATAGCGCCAGGAGAGTGACGACCGTCATTGGTGTTGAGCGGCTGACTGTAACCGTGAGTGTGAGTCGGCGCGGCGCCGAACACGACGGTGCTTGGGGACGGTAGGATCGGTTGTGCTGGACTGGGCATGTTTCTGCGCACAGGTGGGTGTCGTTGTCGTTGTCGTTGTCGCGCTTGAAGTGGCGACTAAGCGAGGTTGGGATGTAACAAGATTGACTTGCGAGGCAGATCTCAGACCTTTTTTGGCGG